GAGCGGACAGCTACCCTTCTTAGATGTCTTATTAACAAAGCGAGACAACGGTGCCATCCAAAGAAGCGTCTTCCGCAAAACAACTTGGGTTGGACAGTACACGCAGCTTTCGCAGCTTTGTTCCCCTGAAATATAAACGCAACCTGGTCAGATGTTTATCATATCGAGCGTCAACCATGTGCCTGATTACGCATGTGATGCATTTTACCGGGCTCCGTTATTTGTTATCGATCCGCGAAGCGATGACCCCATCATTAACAGCATGGTGATTTACCCGGTTCCGCATGACCGACACAGTGGTGTGGTGGCATCGAGGGGAGATCAAATGGCGATAAACATAAAACAGTGATTTCAAAGTGGAAATTCGTCGTGTTTATGGCGATTGAAGTGTGAAGTTAAAAGGTAGGAAACACTCTGGACAGTTGTTTCAACCTGGTTGGGTCTCAGCAGCACAGTGCGCGAATCCATCGACCCAACTGGGGATCGAACCCGGGATCTCACAGGTAGATAGGATACAGGCATACTACTCACTCGATCACCAGGTGGCCGATCAGACCGGTTTTCAGTTCCTTTATACGTAAATATGAGCCTTATGAACAGACCAAATCCCGTATGTCTGGAGACTGGTGCTGAGATGAGTGAGGACCGATACTCGCAACAGGCTGCCAAAGAAGAGTTGTGCTATATCGTGTACGTTCAAAATGAGAAACGGTCTGATCAGCTGCCTGGTGACCGAACGGGTAGTATGTTTGTGTTGTTCTGCCTGCCAGATCCCTTGCGATCATCACGGCTACCGGAACTGACTGTGCCTGTTAATCTACCGGTTATACCAAATGTTCTAGTGTTCATCCGGTGAACAGGTGGGGTTGGAGATTTCCAACAGGTCGATGTGTCACAGAAACTGATGTTTTTACTTATCTAATTCAAAGCGCTGATAGTTGGTACATTAAGCTTCACTTGCTAATAATACACAAAGTTACCGAATTTCCTCAGATCTTGTATAAAAGATAATCAGTTCAGGGAGAATTACTACCAGATGGATAGATAGATAG